GACTTATTGATTCAAAATGGGTTTATAGAGTTAAAATGAATGACAAAAATGAAGTTGTAAGGTACAAGGCAAGATTAGTTGCTAGGGTTTTCAACAAATTCCAGGCGAAGATTATGATTTGTGTTATTCACCAAGTGTAAAATATGAAACAGTTAAGCTTTTGATAAAAGATGCATCACAACGTGGACATTCTGTTTATCACCTAGATATAAAAACTGCATATTTGTTTGCAGATTTAAAAGAACAAATTTTTATGCGTGTCCCTGAAGGCATAGACGCCGCTGAAGGTTTGGTATGCAAATTAAATAAATCCCTTTATGGTCTGCACCAAAGTGGAAGGAATTGGCATCAAACTTTAGCAAAAGAATTGCTGGATATTGGTTTTCCACAGGGAAAGGCAGACAATTGTGTGTTTATAAAGGAAAGGGCAAACTCTGTAGCAAAAATATGTGTCTATGTAGATGACGTGTTAATTTCTACAAAAACTAAACAGGAATATGAACAGGTAGTAACACAGTTACAGAAGAAATTTGATGTGGTGGAATTAGGCATAGCTAAAAATTACTTATCCATGCAAATTGAGAAAGGCAAAAATGGATCTTTTCTGGTTCATCAAACTGCAAAAATTGACGATCTTGTTGAAATGCTATGTTTAGAAAATGCAAATGGGAAGGAAACGCCCATGGTGTGTGGTTTCACTTTTACAGGTGAAGATAAGCCATTTCCTAACAAAACTTTGTATCGTTCTGCTATAGGCAAGCTAAATTTCATTCAAAGAATCTCAAGACCAGATATAACTTATGCCTTTCACTTTCTGGCAAAATTTGTGGAAAAGCCCACTACACAATGTTTCTCTGCTCTTAAGAGAGTGGTAATGTACCTTAAACATACCAAACATTATAGGTTGCAGTTTACAACATGTATTGACAAAGGTTTTGAAATTTTCTGTGATGCATCTCATGCAGTGGAACAAAATAATTGCAGGGGTGTGTCTGGTATGGTGTTTTGTTATAATGGTTGTCCATTTGAATGGAAGTCCCAGACACAAACCATTATTTGTCTCTCCACAACAGAGAGTGAATTATGTGCATGTGTTCAGGCCACTCGTGATGTGGAATGGTATCTGCAAGTATTTGCAGACCTACAGATGCAAGTAACACTACCAGTAAAAGTTTACCTTGATTCCCAGAGTGGACTCGCTATCCTATGTTCAGAAACCAATACGCAGCGCACTAGAGTCTTAAGATTACGTTTGCAGTTTGTAAAGAAACTAATTGCTGATGAAATGGTTGTATTTGAATATGTTCCAGGTGACAATCAAATTGCGGACATTTTTACAAAAGCACTTCCAAAGGTTACACATGAAAAACATGTAAAAAGTATGCTTTACGTTTTGTTCCACAATGATGAACCGCAGGGGAAATGTTGAATGGTTTAATATGTAAAGGTTCATCATTGTTCCACTCGATGTGTATGTCTTTAAGGGGCCAGAAAAAGGGCCAGAGCAAGATAATGAGACCCAGCTTTACAGCTGTGAAACATAGCAGGTGCTGCCGAGTTGTACTGATTAAGCTGTGTTGGCAATTGGGTGTAGTATATAAGGAGCAGCACCTAGCTCTCCCATTACCCTGGGGGATGGGTTGGTGGTTGGGTCATGTTTGTTTGTTAATGTATTTAGTGTAAAAGGAGTTTTTGTTTTTCTTATTAAAACCTTGTTTAAGTTATTTTTGAGTCCCTTTTTAATGCATGGTCTCCCCAGCAAGCTCTCTGCAGCGCTACCATACTGCAAAAAGCCAACAAACCATAGCCCCTCTCATATATTTGCTATGCAGACAACCACAGCATCCTTCTCCACAAGACTGAGAAGCCAACCGTGTAATGATTGCACATAACTGAGGGTGGAGCCACTTACTACATTGCCACTTCCTTGTTTCCCTACATGTATCAGTCGCATGAAGAATGTCTTTAAAAGGAGACCAGGAAGAGGCTTTTCCCCCTGTAGTGAGATCCCTCCATTCCTCACGCTGATAAAGTTCTCAAGAACATGCGCCAGAGTAGCGTCCAGGGAGAAGTTGCTCCCATTGCCCTCTGGAAGCAATCATTTCTGCCTCACCCGAAGCTGACAATGCTCACTTGACAAATCAATATCAACACATCTTTTAAATTGGGATTTTTCACAGTATTGATGGACCTCATGCTTGCTTTTTTTCTGAAGTCATTTGGGCTCTGGTGTGTCACTGCAGTAGGGGAAAATGAAATGTTTTTGAAGCTTAAAGTGAAATGATGATGATGATGATGACGACGACGATGGCTTTTGCTTTGCATACAGTGGCAACTTTTGATTATCCTTATAAGTTTTTCTGCACATAAGAATAACTCTCCTCTGGCCCTAGGATCCTTACACAGCATTACCACTGACGTTTTTCAATCTGTGAATGTGTTTAAATGCAGTCAATTCATCGAGTGAGAAGCTGCGCTGTAGATCCATTCAAAAACATTAATTTCATTAATGCACATCTCTGCAGTATCCTCATTTCCATTAGTCTGCTAGCCCCTTGCTTTGCAAGTAGTTCTATCGAAATAAAATGGACCACTCAAGGCAAAACTACATACCCATTTTATAGGGATCCATTCCCAGACAGATCAGGTGTATAATTGTGCTCTTGTTAAAAAAAACAAACCACACATCAAACACATCAAAATATGCAGTTCTTATGTGGTACACTAAATTTAAGATAGCAGCATTAAAGACTTCAAAATCCAGACCAGGAAAATGAAACACAAGAGCAAAAACACCACCTTTAAAACTCCAGATGAGCTGCTTCTAGAAGGGTTGTCCCTAGTACTACCCATTCATTACTGTTCTGTTGATGTTCTACAAGGAGAAGTGGAATTGACTTTCCACGCCTTCCCTTTGCGCTTCTTCTGTGTGTCATCAACACCAGTGGGTATGACATAGCTGCTGCGTGGTTGAGAGCATTTAAAACTCAGCACTTATTCACTATAACCCAGGGCAGGGAAATTTTATGGTCCAGGGTTTGGTTTTGGTTTTTAAATCAAGCTACTGCAAAACAAAATCTGACATCTGGTGAGGGGGCACATTATGCTCCTCCTTGGGTAGTTTGTCCACCCTGCACTCAGCTCTCAGCTGTGGCTTCTAGAAGCTGTCAGCATGCAACGGCAGCCACATCCTAGAAACAGCTCCAACTGGCTGGCTAAACCAAGTGAGGGAAGACGATGGGTCTCAGACTCTCAGTGAGTTAGGGACTTGCCCTGCATGCATAGATAGGCTCTGGCAGATTGAGCAGACGAGACCAATAGTGGGTCCAATGGTCAAGAAGACAGTTTCTACACGTGCAGGGGGAGATGGGGCTTGTCAGCCTGGGAAGATAGACCATCAGGGAGAAGAATAACTCTAATAAGAATAAGAATTTATACCCCACCCTTCCCGGTTCAAAAACCAGGCTCAGGGCAGCTAACAACAAATTTAAAACACTTAATTATAAAAGCAGCATAAAATACAGTATAAAAACATGAATAACAATAAAAATCAAAAATCAATTAGATAATCCCCAGGGCTAGCTGGCTGAATTGGTCCTACTTGGGCCAGCGAGGAGGCCAGGGAAGAATTAGCTGTGGGGTCTCAGAGTGAGTAATCTTCATAAAAGGGGAGGGGGAGGGAAGAGAAGGGAAATAAAAGATCAGGCTGAATTCAAATTAAAGGCCAGGTGGAATAGTTCTGTCTTACAGGTCCGACGGGAGGAGGTTAAATCCTGAGCCCCCCCTTATCCTAAACCCCCGCTGCCGTGCAGGTTATCTTTAGGAGAAGAAAAGGCGAGGAGGTAAACCATATGCAAATCAGGAGTGGAGTCCCTAAGACAATTGGATAGCACCTTGTACAGCTCCTTCTGTCAACTCCTACAACCAAGCTGGTGCCAAACATATTGCTCTGCTTTCCTTTGGCAGACATCAGTGAGGCCAAGAGAGAGGTCTTGTTGTCTGGGCTGCCCAGGTCCTCCATACACACTGTCCAGGTTTGCACACCATGGAAGGTCACTTTGGTGCTGCTAATGCAATGGATTGACTTCACCCCCTGAAGTGCACTCCATTGTCTCTCAAGACAGACAGATGAGACTTCCAGGGCAAGCCATAGCTCAAACTGACACATGTAGTTCCTCTCTTCTCACCTCTTCTCATCCCCTGAACACCCACAGGTTTATAATACAAGTTATTATATTAAAAAAACACAAAGCAAAACAATTGCAGAGAAGGGCTGTTCCTATGTGCACATTCCTAACTGTGACATTTACCGGCTGGAGGAACACGAGGCTACATAAGGGATGAGACTACAGCCACATAACTTTTCACAATTCAGACACAACCCGCCATTAGTCTGGAAAAGAAAGCTCTGTGTTCACTCTCTAATAACAGGGATACTCAACCAAAGGTGCAGACCATCAGCTTCATATTCACTCTTAAAAGCATTGCATCACACAGCAACTATCCCATTATATAACTGGAAAGAGCAGAGAGTCCCTTACTTAGAAGTAAGTCCTATTGAACTCAGTCAGTAGGTCTTATTTCTGAGTGGATTATGTATGAGATTGCACTGCAAAACTGGTTGGACTTTTGCTTGTAACCTGACGAAGCATGAAAGTGCCATAAAGGCTTTTGGGGACTGCATGGGCGATAGCATGAGTGTTCTTGCCGCATGGAACTGAGGTTTAGCGAGTGACTCATTCTTGGACCCTTCATTATTAGCACACAGTAGCAGGAAACACAGCCCAGAGACCTTAAAAGAGGAACACCGCCCCTCTGGTTAGCCAGTTGCTCACTCTTTCATACCATCTCAAGGCACGAGCCCTTATTGGATTAACATTTGTGTAAGCAGTTTGTGTAGTGGCTTGGAGCTGCCGCATTCACTAGAAGGAGGAAGCAGGCAAACAGACTGTTTTCAAGATAGAGACACAAGCACACAGTCCCTCTTCCTCAGCGTGAAGATGTTTAAAGTTGTTTCCTTTGTCTTTTTGTTGGTTTATACCACCCCCAGCATTGAATGGCCTACGCATCTGCTCTGCAAGACTGATCGGCTGGAGGTAAACTACAGAAGCTGTGGTGAGATCTTTTAGCTCCATTTAACTTTTTCTGATTGGCAGGAAACAGGCAGCTGCAAAGCAGCAGGTGGCTTGCTAGAGTTGGACATAGCAGACCCGTGGCACATACCACATTCAGCCACAAAAGGTTTTGGGTTAATCTAGGACAGTCACTCATCCCAGTCCAGAGATTTATGTGTATCTGGGTGTGTGCATGTGGGTGTGTGCATCCCTTTCATGTGCAAGAATCTCCATCTTTTTTTTCAATGGAGGGACCCGATCGACATACAAAAATGATCCAGATACAAAAATACACTGTCTGTGTGGATTGTTTCCTCCCATTTAACTAAATGGAGAGACCATTCTGTGCAAGCAGCTTCTTGCGTACATCAGAATTCCTCTGCTTAGAACTCATCACTAGATTGGAGCAATTGTTTTCCCACCTAATCACAGGACCATAGCTTGGGGGGAATGAACCATAGCTAAGTTGTAGAGCATATGCATTGCGCACCAAAGGTTCCACGTTCAATTCCTGACTTATCCTGGCACTGATTTGAAAGACTCTTGTCTGAAACGCTGGAGAGCTGTTCCTGGTCTGTGTAGACAATGTGGAGCTAGGTGGATCAATAGTCTCATTCAGTGTATCATTCATTCTGTGTTCTTAATCTGCTTCCACTGGGCCATGGGAGCTTTGCATCAGATAAAACTGTGCATGATGAAACTTTCAGTTGTCAAGATTAAAAACAATTGTAATAAAAGAAAGAGCCAAAGCCTAGGGGCCAAGGTCCCTTCGCTCCCTCCCATAAAATATTTGAGGGGACCTGGGCCCCCAAAATTGATGGATATTGGCATTCAAATGGTGTGTGCACTGCATCTTGTGATCAATTATATGGATGGGACTTACCTGCCCCCCCCCAATATTTTATTCAAGTTGGCACCCCTGCAGAGATATAATGAAGAGAAGTCCCTAATATATGTCTTTCACCAATTCAGCATGAATTTGGGCTTTTGAACCAATTTCTAATAAAACCAACAAGGAGGCAAGGACAGGCCCACTGCAAAGATGACGCATGAGCAGTCGAAAAAATAATAATGCAATTTCGTAACTTTTTTAAAAAGGAAGATTTGTTTGTTCTTCAGATCTGCTGGAAAGAATAAGGGAAACAAGCTGCTCCGAAATGAATGGAAAGGCAGCCTCTTGGCAGTGCTTCCTTTTCAACTCGGCACCTCGGCTGGCCTTGCGCTGCACTGATGCGCCCTGCAGTGGGGACAAAGGGAATTAGCTTCATAGGCATCTCATTCATAAGAGGCACGTGACGTGAAAAGTGATTAATGGCAAAGGAAGAATCTGAGCGTTTGTTTTTCCAATTCATCCCAACACAAAGGCTGCCCTCCCTGCTTTCCCCTCCCCTGAAGCTCAGGCGCAGCTTTACACATCCATTAAAATAAAACCAGTGAGGGGCACGAGGAGCAAATAAATATTTGGAGTGAAATCTTTTAGCGGCCGATTCTTAGGAGACGAAGTTAGCTTTCAGGTATTGTAAGCGGATTCCCTTCCTGTAATAGGAAAATAGAACTGGCGCTATGAAACTGGCTTGTTTTGCCCCTTCAGAAAAGGAAAAACACACAGATGCCCTCTTACTGGTAGTCCAGTCCTGCCAGTCTCAGCTTTTCTAGACTTGCTACATGTGACCCTTTTCTCTAGTCGAGACACATGGGGTAGGGGGTATTTGCATTTTTAAAACCCATGAGGTAATTTATATGCACAGCTTCAGATTTATAAATGATTACTAGAATTCAAATAGAAATACAAATTTGCATCTCACCACTGCAGAGAAGGTTGGGAACAGGTGACCAGGGTGCCTGCTCAGTCTGTTGTTCAGGTGCTGCTCACCTTTGATGGGAAACCTTGTGGTTCTTTTGTCTTCAAACTGGACTTTGAAATAGAAGACTCCTGCAAACAGGGGACTATCAACAGATCAGCCACTTTTTACAACCCAGTTCTAAAAGCCAGTTGTGAGGATCCCTGAGATCTACAGATGAAGGGCAATATACAAATACAATAAAATGAAACAAAACCCTCTCACACACATGATAAGCAGACAGGTTTTTTTAAAAAAAGTATTTTCCTATATATATCCCAAACTTTATACCGTCTGGTTCATGCCACAAACATTGACTAGCAAACACAATCCTATACCTTGGTAGCATGTTCCACTGAAACCCATGAGGTTTTCGTCAGAGTAAACATGGTTAACTCAATGCTATACATGGTTCTGAAAGGTGTTAGCCAGCCCAACTTCCTTGAATGTTTGGTTTTCCTTACAAATGGATGAGTAAATGAATTAACTCTGGTTGGTTAGCAAATGGGGGCCTCTGGACCAAATCTATGCCCCCAAGAGCATAGATTTTTGCCCATCCAGCAGGTTATCTGCCACTTCTCTGATCAAAATGGGACCCGCCTGAAGTGTCGTCTCTTGAGGGGAAAAAGCAGCCATATTGGAGCAGGGTTATGCATATTGGTCCCTGCCCCCCAGCGACAGATTGAAGGCTAGTGAGTTTTATGGCTGAATAAGGGCTTGGCCCTGGATTAAACATCCAGCCCTCTATCAGCTGTGGCTCTCATGAATCAGTTTCTTCAGCTCATTTCTCAAAAGAGCTTAAATCGAAAGCATGTGATTCGGAAGATTAGGTCTGTCTGAATTTCTGTGCTTCCTTTGTATCAAATTAGTGGGCAGAGACACAGAGAGCTTTTCTTAAAAAATAAAAAGTTCATACCTGAGGAGAAAAAGGATCTCTCTCTCTCTCTCTCTCTCTCTCTCACACACACACACACACACACACACACACACACACACTTTTCTCTCTCCACAGCCAAAGTACTGTTCCCACCCCTCTCTCAGTCACTCTGACAAATTAAAACCCAGGCTCATCAACCATCATGACAAGAGATCAAGAAAAAAAACAAACCCAGAAGCCAGTACATTTCAGATTTGTCTTTCCCAGAGGTTGTGGGCTTAGATTAAACTCTGTCATTTAACATGAAGCATAACCCGGTGCTATTTCCAGAAATCAACACCATGGCAGCAGGAAGAAAAATATCCCTAAGCTTCAAGGTACCAAAATGGCTCCCCAGTGCATGCTTAAGGAGAGTCAGCAATAAAGACAGATTAGGCGCCAGATGGTTTTACTGATCATGTGAGGCACAAATCAGGGCATGTCAATAGAGAGCGACTTATAAAGCACTCAGGTACCTGATGCACAGGATGACATGAGCTGGTCCCAGCCAGGCTCTGCTCTTTGGGTAGACAGACACTGCAGTATTGGCAGTCCTTTCCTTGAGGGCCAAATATTGATGCCTTCACACTCAACCAAGCAGTTCAAGTTATATTGCTTGAAGTAGGCTCACAAGAACCGTTTCAGGTCTCGGCAAAGGGAGAGGGGGAAAGGCAAAATTCACCACTTGGATTTAAACACTTCTGGATGTTTCCAAGATTAAACCGCAAAAAAAACCTATTGTTGTGAATTCTGGGGGGTGGGCTGTTTGCCTGAGTTCCCTTACAGGGTTGCCATACATCCAATTCCCCAGGCATATCCAGGATTCAGCCCTTGTATACAGTGTCTGGGAATTCCAAACGTATGGCAACCCAGATGTTTGGGCAAAACTTTTTTTTAAAAAAAGCTCACTTTTTGAAATATGGCAACCCTACCTTCATGTTCCTGAATCAAAGCAAGGATTGAATTGCTGGAATAGCCGGGCCAGTTTCTTGGTGAGATAATGGCACAAAAAGCACAAAATCCAGAGTTCAGTTGAGGTGTGTGTGTGTGTGCTAGAAGCAGGAGGCTGCAGGCTGAAGCCTGTGAGGGAGAGAGATGCTTGATTTCTGATGGAATTCAAGGCAATGGGAGAAGCAAGACCTTCTTGGGGTGTTAATGCTGTGAGCACTGTGAGCCCCTCCATCATATGCTCAGGCAGTGTTTCTTTTCCAAGGGGGGAGGAGGTGCCAGTACTTCACCGGCGGCTCCTGTGACCTCACTGCCCCACCCATCATGAGCATCACCAGCGAAGCAACCAGGGTGCACATGGTGGGCAGCAGAGCACACTACATGGTGGAGCAGGGCATCACTGCCGTGTCGCCCACTCAGTCTAATCTCAGTCTAATCAGTCATAGTTTTTTGCCTGTGTATTCTTTCCTCCCCTACCCTCCTTCTTTTCCTCACACATTTCAATAAGAACACTTCTTGGGAGGGTGGCATATCCTGGTTTGCAAAGGGAAATTAAACCATCGTTTCCCTGTTACAGTGCCTCAAGAAACTGTGGTTTAACAACCCACAATAGAAGTACCGAAGTCGAGTGTGTGCAGGGCCACACGCTTCATTCTTGGTCTAAAAAGCCCAGGTGTCTGAGATTGAGTCTGTCATGACCAAATGTGTCATAGTCTTCATACCGGAGGCAAACTATGGTTTGCAGTAATCAAAGTTTGCCCTACTCAGTTGTTATAGTGAAGATGAGTTCTCACCAGCCAGAAAATTAGAGAGAGGAGACAACGGAAGCACGTCAGGAGAAATGCAGGCGTGAAACCATGACTTGGCTGTGACACCTGAACCAAATGCCAGTATGCCGAATTAGAACGGGGAAACAGGTGCTCCTGAGAGACCAGGGTTGTCTGTTCTGGCCAACAGACTCTCTAGGGTCTCACATAGAGGTCTTTCCTTTCACCTGCTATCTGAGATATTTAAGAGGAAAACAGCAGCAGCAATAGCCTGGAGACGCCAGGGACTGAAATCTGTAAGAAAAGTGTTTACTCTTCCCAGCGGCCTTGCATCCTAAGCCTTTGGGTGTGCTGGGGTACACATGCCTCATAACCGGTTGATTGCCTGAAATGTTACAGCTTCCTCCTTTCTCAGGCAAATTGTTTGGCGGGGGGGTGTTGTTTCATCCCCCAGCAGGAAGTGGGGTGGCAGAAAGCCCAAAGTGCGTTCACAGTGCTGCAGACCTCTTTTTAATGACCTTCTGCATCTATGCAAGTGTAAAGCTGAAAGGAGGGGGAGAGCTTACATCAGCTGTCAGAAGTTTGGGGAAACACTGCGTTCGGCAAAAATGTTTAACTATGATTTTTAAAAATGTCCTGCAATCATTTTTTTCATCAGTGCTGTTGGGAGTATTAAATGAGAGGGTGTATTTTTAAGGGTTTTGAAAGCACTATGTAAGTGTTAAGAATTATTCATTCATGTGTTCATTTCCAGCTTCCTTCCTGCTCTATTTTAGTGTGAACCTGGGGGATGGAGGGGGGGGAGTGAGCTAAAGTAATTCACTGCCCTGCCATTGTTTCACTGCTCCCAGAAGTATAATACGGAAAGGCCAAAGGATTCCCCCCCATACACACACCACTAAGAACTGCATGAACTCAGCCAGATCAATGCCTTAGTAGAAACCCATGCCATTGATTTGCAGGATTCTGTTTTCACAAAAAATAATTTAAAGCAATAATGTGTTAGAAAATTATCCACTAACCGTTCAGGGTTATTGAACCAAATCATGCATGGGCAGTAAGAGGTTATTGGTGGAGGAGGTGATGGAACAATTCTAAACCCCTGTTCAGGTATTCAAAGAACAAAAGGGGAGAAAGAGTGGAAGGGGCAGGAGTTTGTGGATGCTAGCTCCTCCCCCAGTGTCCCTGTAGGCTATGACCCCAACCTCCACTCATTAATGCTAAATGCCTGAACAGGAATTATTTATGGGAGGAATTCAACTTTGCGTTCTTCGGACCATTCACTCTGCATAAGCATTGCAGCTTGACAGGCAAAGCGATTCCACCCTCTCCTTCCTCCTAGGAGTTCTCCTGACCCCTTCCAGAGCTAATTTCAGGGGGACAGGATGCACAAGGAGAGGAGAGGAAAGGCTTGTCGTGTAAGTGGAAATTCTCAGGGCTCCTAGGTGAATCCCATCTCATGCGTTTGGCTGAACTAGCTTAGTATTCCCGTGGCAATCAGGATCCCTGCACACCCAGGGTTCCTGAGCACAGGGAAGGTTCTAAGCATGCTCAGCCAAACAAAGAACCACCATCAGATCTTCAGCCTTGATATCCAGGGGATCTGGGTTGGTTCAGGTGGAGAAAAGGGGCATTGGGGGAGAGCTGGTACATGCTTTTATTCCCTCCTGTTTCTTTGAAGACCTGAATAGGGCTGTAGCATGTTTCTATTAGTGATTCCAAAATGCTGGGCGGGTCTCCTCTCCCCAGTGGCTCATAGGAGCATCAGATACTTCATTGTTTGGGACAGATCAACCTGTTGCTTAGATTATTGGCTGAAGGCATGAAAGAGATAAGAATACAGTGGTACCTCGGGTTACAGATGCTTCAGGTTACAGGTGCTTCAGGTTACAGACTCCGCTAACCCAGAAATAGTACCACAGGTACTTTGCTTCAGGATGAGAACAGAAATCGGGCTCTGGCAGCGCGGCGGCAGCGGGAGGCCCCATTAGCTAAAGTGGTGCTTCAGGTTAAGAACGGTTTCAGGTTAAGAACGGACCTCCAGAACGAATTAAGTTCTTAACCCATGGTACCACTGTACAGAGTTGGACAGGCAGCTAACCAAGTATTTACCCAAGTTGTTCCCTGGCTGAAGGCCTTTTTGATAGGGCGTCATTGTGCATGCACACATCTCAGCAAGCTTCATCTCCAGAACAGGAGTTCATTTCCTTTTCCCAAGTCAGACTGTGGGTCTGTCCAGCTCAGTGTTCTCCAGTGTTCTCCAGATTGGGCTCTTTCCCAAACCTACCTGGAGATGCCAGGAGCTGTCCTTGGGACTTTCTCCGTGCAGAGTTTGTGTGGCACAGCAGTCAACCCCTACTGGAAACAATATTCCATCCTCAGAGGATGTTCCCAGAGCTAGGGTCCAGTTCGCCATTTTTTCCCTTTCTCTTGGAGCATTGCAGCTTCCCACTGGTTCCCACATGGTGCATATGCAGTTATTCCATGATCAAAAGGATGAAGTGTGACGAGTAAACTTTGAATTCTGCGAGTGAGAACAGATTGGAGAAAGTGGGTGGAGGGAAGACTGTGAATTCAACAGTGCCACTTGTTCTAGAATGTGGCAGCGACGTGAAAAGTTGAAGTGAGAGTGTCATTTTCTCCTAGGAAAGAAGGGTAAACATTATGACTCTGTGAGAACTGAGGATGTGTACATTTGCAGCCTGCAGTTGGACGGGTGAATGAATGGGGCTCCCTGAGTGAAATAAGGAGAAGGCTGGTCCTCAGTCAGGACTGCAAACTGGGCTGGGCTTCTTTTCCCAGTCTGTGCATTTCAACGTAAGAAGAGCTTGCTGGGCCATCTAGTCAAGCATCATTTTTCACAGTGGCCAAACAGATGACTGCAGGAAGCCCAAAAGCACAACAATACTCTCCCCTCCTGTGGTTTCTAGCAATGAGTATTCAGAAGCATTGCTGTCTCCCACAGTGCACTGCTTAATCCAAGCCAGAGCTCACCTGGAGTTAAGCCCAGAATCTGCTTTCAAAAGCATAGCTCAGCATCAAAACTTGGGAAACAATATAGACAAGCATGCCTTTCAGCTTATATACAGCACCTTTCCTTTATCAGCTGAATAATCACCAACAGCCTCCCCACCACACAACCTGGGGAGCGCAGAAACAGCAGACAGACAAGCCAGTTAGGTGACACGGGACCCAGGCTATTTTGGGCATCAGTGTCGATCAGGGCCATGTTAATTGGCTGTCCCAGGCACAACCCACTAGGTTGTGTATCCCAAGCTACACAGTTTTCCTAAATGGCCTGCAGCACCCTGTAGAGCAGGCATGGCCAAACTTGGCCCTCCAGCTGTTTTGGGACTACAACTCCCATCATCCCTAGCTAACAGGACCAGTGGTCAGGGATGATGGGAATTGTAGTCCCTAAACAGCTGGAGGGCCAAGTTTGGCCATGCCTGCTGTAGAGGATAGGAAAAAATGCTGCATTTACTGAAATTAGCCCAATCTGCCATTCTGTGGATTGCACACACACACACACACACACACACACACATATATATATATATACACACACAGAGAGAGAGAGAGAGAGAGATTTCATGACATCTGAAACAAAATACAAAATGCCAGCTGCTGTACATCTCTCCCCACTGCAGGTGCAAAACTAATCCACACTTGAAGGCACAATGCACAGATAGAAGAATTACTGTTCTCAGATCTGTGACTTGTGCAGCATACAAGCAACATTTTTTTTTAAGCATACAAGCAACATTTTGAAGAAGGAAGGAAGTGTCTCTCTCTCCCCCCCACCCCTGACCTTCTGCACAAAAATAAAAAGAAGTAAAACATTCTCTTGCAGAAGTCAAATTACCATTATCCAGAAGAGGCCGAGGAGGAAATGGGAAAGGGGTAATGAAAACACTGAAAAGAGAAGTCAAAATCAACCTGGTTTTGTAGGTCCTTCCCGAAAATACAATTACAAAATAACTGTCAGAAGTTTTTAAATGAAAAAAACCACCAAACAACATTCTAACAGTAACCGTGTAAAAAAAGAAGAAAAAGATTGCTGCCAAGTTCCCAACATACATTAAAGGGAGATGATTGGGTGCTTGTCTCATTGGCTGAAATTAATGTGTGACATGGCTTCAACTGTGTTGGCATTTTCCGCACCCCGCACAAAAGGCAGCCAGTGAAGAAGACTGAGGGAACAGAGAAACACGAAAGCTAGGAGATCACACCTGCAATATTCAAAAACCAGTAAGGAAATCTTGAAGCCTAGCTAGCTTTGACATGCAACCACTGAAAACACAAATAGCAGGAATAGTTCCTGGCACATAATGAAAGCAGAGGAAAACACTATGAGGTTATGGGGGGGGTTGCTCTTTTTCAAGTGCCATCTCAGCAGTATTGGGGGTCTGACTCCCAAAAAGAGTTCAGGTTTGGATGAAATCTAGAAGGAACGAAGGGGTGGCAATACAATGGTTTCAGAATTCTGGGTGACCCTGAACAGCTCTGGACAGCTCCGTATAGAGCTCAAGTGGGAGACTCCATACAAGTTGTTTCAGCACCAGTCAGTCTCAGACTGAGCCTCCAAAAGGAACTGCAAATCTGAGAAGCTGGATCTGTATTCTTGCTTTAGTACTCATCAGCTTCAGCTGAGATGGGGAGACTGTGGTCCCACTTGAGTGTCTGACCTGGAACCCTCAAAGTCAGAGGAGGGCAGCATGACCTCCTCGGACCTCAGGAGTACAGGCATTGTGGGCTCCTCTTGCACAAGTTCTTCTGGATTAATATAGACATCAGGGTCTGGGGGCAATTGCTATGCTATCCTATGCTATGCTAGTGTTTATTTATATACCACCCAAAGCAAAACAAGGCAGCTTCCTATGATGCTATGTAACTGCAGCAGGTTTTGAGGTTCCTTGAGTTCATAAAATAAGGAGGTGTGGGTGCACTCATAGAGAAATGGAACAGCACGTCATCAGACCAAAATAGTGGTTCTCATTACAACATTTCATTTCAGAGTGGCGCTTTCATAGGACATTTGATCTTAGGGCCCCTCCAGACTGGTGTTTTATTGCAGTTCTTATTCTTAATGCAATTAGTGCATTAGTGGGAGATATCTTCTACTTTCTTTTGTCCTGTAATGCTTTCCCAATGCTACCACATTATTGCCGTCCAGAGGGGCTATAGCCCAACAAAAGCAGAACAAAAATAACCAGAACATTTGTGGTCTAAAAAGTGAGACAATGTCAGCGGGAAGTTATGGCACTGGTACTGACTGGAAATGCAGCAGTGTGGCCAGCCCAGAACTTGTGTAACTGCAAGCGGGGGGAGGGGGTTGTGTGTGTCCACCTTGATAGCATCAAATCATGATGAATGAATATTAAGTGGCGTCACCAGATTAGTAGAGCAATATTTTCTGGATGTCTCTACCAAACCTCCCATTTAGGGGTCCACTTGCTCCTAAATCAAGTCTCCTTTGTAATGTATAGAAAATTGATTCACCTGTGGCTTTCATTTTCTTTTCTTCACAGATCCACTGCAAGATTTGGCTTTTAGCATTGGCACCTGCTCCAATGTAGTGCCCGAAACTCTTAACATCAGAATAGCAACCATTTTAAGTAAGTATAATGTGTTTGACTGTCTCCTAGGACTCTCAGTCCTCAGAACTCAACCGAAGCCAGATGATACCTCCAAGGATGGGGGTGACTGAGTCCCTGAAGCTCCCAAGAGGCGATGTCCCTAGACAATGAGGTCTCCATCCCTGGTCTCAGAAAAGGATATTCTACCCTCCTTCCTTCTCAGGGTGACTCAGATGACTCCTCCCCTGAACTACCATCAGCTTAAAAACGCTCTCTTCCTATACCACACCAAACACAAGTGTTGCAGGGTATCTTTCAAGTATAGCATAGCACATACCTATGTAATGGGACACATAACCTTTATTTTCCAAAACAGACCCCTGCCAGGGAAGCGGGGGGCTCAACCTGACCTCTCTCTGGCAGTCTGTATAATGCACCCATCAACTTCAGACCAGTGCTGAAGCAACGCTCCAATTTCCTTACTTCCAAACTTGCTTTTATCTATGTAATAGCAAATCACATGCGACGAATTGCCCTTGCAAGAGTCCAATCCAGATCAGGACCCAGGGAGCGGGGCAAGACTGAGTGTGTGTCTAGATACATTCAGCCAATCTGAGCCCTGATAATAGGCCTTTCCCCCAACATGTACTTGTCTAAGGGGGCCGTCATGGACATATGTGTTCAGTTGTACTTACTCCCAAAAAAGTGTGTATAAGACAGCTGCCTAATTTTGGAAACCATCACTATTTATTACACTCAGAAACACATAACATCTTGCTGTCACCAAGGTCCTCTTCAATATGCATAACTTTGAAGGATATCCTTCTTGGCATCAGCATCCCAGTAATGGAATTCCTTCCCTTTTCAGATTCATTGGACATGGACTTTGTTGGGTTTTCTTTTTTTAAAAAAATATTTTTTATTAACCAACCAATCAAATCAAATCAAATCACATCACATAAATTCCGAATTACAAAGCCGAATTTTAAATTTTTTGTTGGGGGTACCCATATTTCAAGTTCCGAAGGGGATTCCAATCATCTTCTTGCTGCTGCGTTAATATCCACAAATCTGTCCAAATAATGTTCATAATTCTATCCAGGCCTATCTTGCTGTTCCCACATCTCATCTTATTCATATATTTTTCTTTTTTCTTTGTGATCTCTTCTGATAATCTCCTTAAGCAGGTAAACACCAGTTGTAATCCTGTGTGAATTTTTCCGTTCATCCAATCAACATATCAAGATGGTTTCCATATATCATCACTTCCATAAATAAAAGCACTCTTTCCATCATTAATCTTTGCAAATCTGTCGCCCTCTGAGGAGGCTCGCCCGCAATATGAAAACAGATCCATTCCTCCTCCCAGACATAAGTCTTTCGACAGAGCTTGCCAAAATGGTGACGCTATTTTTTACTGCGTCATCCCAAAGCTCTTATACTTTCCACGATCTCCTTAAAACATGCTTTTGGTTAGAAATTATCTCCACACAGTCTTAAATCATCAGCTTAGGTCATTTAAGCGGCATTTCTGACTTGTGGGGAGGGGATTCTTGGTTAATCACATAAAGAAAAGAAAGGAAAGTCCCCCCCCCCAGTCCCGTTGTCGGCATCCCGAGCCTTGGTGTGTCTTCTCATGATATATTCCTGTTTATCCGACCCGTCTTCTTTCTCAGAGATCTCTTCAATTAGCAGTCTTTACTCCCCATTCTTCCTTGAAATAAGTGCATTTGCTTCCTCCTAATTGTTTCTTTTGAAGTTGCTGCAGCTAGTGGCGCGAATCAGAGACAGCATCCAGGAGAGCCGAAGTCCACACAAGGGCTTTCTGCCTAGTGCCCCCACCCTCTCGAATTCAGGGGTGGTATAGGGCACAGCAGGCAAGGGCAGTCCACCCCCACTCGCTTGGGGGGGCAGGGAGGCTGCTTACTCCCATCACAGCCTCTTAATTACCTCGTGTGGGTCGGAGAGATGTTATTGTCGGCCATCTTCCAATGCGCCCCTAGTGGCCCCCGGACTTTGTTGGGTTTTCAGGGCCAAGCTGAACTTGTTGTTCATACTGTTGATTTCAGCTTATTCGTTCTGTTTGTTTTAAATATGTGTTTTGCGTTTATTTTAATGTAACCCTCTCTGGGATTGTCTTGGCAATGATGAGCAAGTAGGAAATATTTTAAATAAATAAATAGTGGTGATTAAACCCATTATGTAAACAAAGAACAAAATTTCCCTCCCTCCCTGTTCTTTAAAAAAAACCTAACTAACATAGTGACAATGTTCTGATTTCCATACAATTGCTCATTAGATTTATATTCTGTCTCTCTCTACAGGGTACAGCATCAGGAAACTGTCTGTGGAAGTAACTCTTGGCATAAATGGGGCGAGTGTTCCGTTTTACTCCAAGGAACTTTGCGAAGAGGATCACCCAGAGTTTCTTTACTGCAGAAAGAAGAAAGGAGGTGATTAATTTTTCAGGAATAACATGCTAAATGTTCAGTGGCTAGCAGTTGTAGTGAGCAGGGAGAAGGTGCCGTGTCAGTTGTACACAACAGGTTGGAAATATCTGACCAGCCTGTTTAATTTTACACAAACAATTTTCCATGACAAAATCATTTCCTGCAAAAAGCATTGTGCTAGAATTTTCTTGTAGGAGGTTCTACTTACAAGGCAGAGCACAATGTGAAGGTATACAAAGCTTACAGGTAGACAGGTGTTGCTCTGGTCTGGTAAGCACATGGACGGAAGACTACCAGGAAAGCTCAAGGGTGTCTTGTTGAATTCCAGGATGAGCAAACATAGGACACAAACATCTTAAATAAACGCAAGCCCAAGGGATAAGTGAAGCACAGCACCTTTAGCAAGGAAAGGGCAGTAATTCAGTGGTAGAACACCTGATTTGAATGCAGAAGGTTACAGGTTCGATCCTTGGCAACTCCAGGTAGGGCTAAGACTGTCCCCTGCCTGTGACTCTGGAGAGCCACTCCCGGTCAATGAAGACAGTTCAGTGGTAGACGGATCAATCCTACTACCATTCATTCCTGATTACAGCAAAATGTCTACAAGTAGAAATATGACTGGGTTAAATTATGCAAGAAGCATGGAGCAATTGCAAAACACACAGCTGCCATTCAGTACATATGCAGTAGTGCTGTTTTCATTACACTGGTATGCATGGTATTGGTCACATCAACAACACTGAGAAAATATCCATAGTGTTTGCGATAATGAACAACATTCCCACTGCCAAATATGCATTTCCACAGCTGTATACCATAGGGGTAAAACAAATTGTATTCTTGGCATACATAACTGGTAAGCAGGGTGATCAATTTGTTAAAGATTTGTCAATCAATCAATCAATCAATTAATCAATCAATCAACTGCCTTGCTCGGAACAATTCACCAATGAATTTTACATAAATATAATGACCTATTGCAAAGTCATACTAAAACAGCCTTTTTAAAGCTTCCTTCCCACATTACTTAAAATAACTCCTCATTTTATCCTAGCTTCTAATAAAGACAATAAGGGGAAGGCATATTTTAATTTTCTCGATCATCAGATTTGACATTTGGAGGAATTACATTTGCCTGGCCCGCAGCGTGAGAGGTCCTTCAGGAGTTTTAAGCGTTGTGGGCCCTATCAATTAATCAGGAGGAAAGTAGTCATCCTCCATTAACACGTTCGTTTGTTAAACCTGAAATACACTGGAATTTGGCGAGTCCAACAAGTTCTGCTGCACTGGGCGCCAGCACTAGAGGGCACTGCAGAGCTTCTCAGCTACAACATAGTGACTTGAGCAGAACAGAAGGTGAGAGGTGGGGGGGTGCCAAATTTTGGCTTTGTATAGGGTGCTGTTGAAATGTTAAAGACCAACATCTGCCACTGAATTTGGGGACCCAAAATGTCAAGCTTCAGGGGCCAGGAAAAGGCTGAGCCACAGAAGCAGGTTTTTAGAGGTTAACAGTTTGAACATGCTACTGCTTGGTGGAGCATCGAATACTGCTCATTGCTGTGCAGCCCTCTGCTATCGGTAGATAGCGCACATGCGGACAGTGTGCAATAAATGAGAAAGAAACGTGCTTTGATAACACAATAAGGTAATCATGTGCAAAGGCCCCCGTGGCTCTTTCTCTGCTGCAGTCACATCTCAATCTGAAACATAATAAACACCGTGCTGTGAGTTTCATGACCACGCAACGGTTCATCTACTAAGATGGCCTCGGAGGAATTGCTAGCACTTTTTAAAAAATATGTCACAGAATAATAGACAAATACTACATGAGCAACCAATCATGCAAATTATTGAAGTCGGACTGATGGAAACATTACATTCCGAGTCTCTCTCTCTCTCTCTCTCTCTCTCTCTCTCTCTCTCTCTCTTGTATATTGAATTAAAGAAAAATGAGAAGAGGAATAAAGGCACCCACAGATCTCCTAGCAGTCTGCCTTATTTTGATGAAGTGCTTAATAAGAACCTGTAGAAAATACATTAGAGAGTACTGGAGTCCATCGCGGGTCCCAACACAAACTGCTGTGTGCATATTAAATCAGAAGGCCACATTTTTCTGGGGGTCTGCAAATCCTCAGTAAGACAGGAAGTATTGTTCCACGCACACACACACACACACACACACACACACCCCAAAGTGAAGCATATTGTGACAAAAAGTCACAGCTTTTTTATCAGATATTACTATATATCTTCATCTATAGACGCTGCTCCCAAATGCTAATAAAACTTTTTCTCCGTGCTTTGAATTGAAGCTACTTTCCCTTTAGTGATATGTGATTACAAATATTTCCATCCACATGCTCAAGGAAGATAATAGTACAGGTTATCTATCTATCAGTTATCTATCTCTACACTCTAGATCAGGGGTCAGCAAACTTTTTCAGCCGTGGGCCGCTCCCTTGTCCCTTGGACCTTGTGGGGGGCCAGACTATATTTTGAGGAGGGGGGAATGAATTAATTCCTATGCCCCACAAATAACCCAGAGATGCATTTTAAATAAAAGGACACATTCTACTCATGTAAAAACTGCCTGGAGGCGGTTGGAGGATGGATGGCGGCTAATGGATTGAAGTTGAATCCTGACAAGACAGAAGTACTGTTTTTGGGGGACAGGGGGCGGGCTGGTGTGGAGGACTCCCTGGTCCTGAATAGGGTAACTGTGCCCCTGAAGGACCAGGTGCGCAGCCTGGGAGTCATTTTGGACTCACAGCTGTCCATGGAGGCACAGGTCAATTCTGTATCCAGGGCAGCTGTCTACCAACTCCACCTGGTACGCAGGCTGAGACCCTACCTGCCCGCGGACTGTCTCGCCAGAGTGGTGCATGCTCTAGTTATCTCCCGCTTGGACTACTGCAATGCGCTCTACGTGGGGCTACCTTTGAAGGTGACTCGGAAACTACAACTAATCCAGAATGCGGCAGCTAGACTGGTGACTGGGGGTGGCCGTCGAGACCACATAATACCGGTCTTGAAAGACCTACATTGGCTCCCAGTACGTTTCCGAGCACAATTCAAAGTGCTGGTGTTGACCTTTAAAGCCCTAAACGGCCTCGGCCCAGTATACCTGAAGGAGCGTCGCCACCCCCATCGTTCTGCCCGGACGCTGAGGTCCAGCACCGAGGGCCTTCTGGCAGTTCCCTCATTGCGAGAAGCAAAGCTACAGGGAACCAGGCAGAGGCCTTCTCGGTAGTGGCTCCCGCCCTGTGGAACGCCCTCCCATCAGATGTCAAAGCGATAAATAACTACCTGACATTCAGAAGACATCTGAAGGCAGCCCTGTTTAGGGAAGTTTTTAATTTGTGATATTTTAGTGTATTTTTGGTTTCTATGGAAGCCGCCCAGAGTGGCTGGGGAAACCCAGCGAGATGGGCGGGGTACAAATAATAAATAATAATTATTATTATTATTATTATTATTATTATTATAAAAACACGCTGATTCCCGGACCATCCGCAGGCAGGATTTAGAAGGCAATTGGGGCGGATCCGGCCCCCAGGCCTTGGTTTGCCTACCCATGCTCTAGATTCTAGTGTGTAGAAGAAGAAGAAGAGTTTGGATTTGATATCTCACTTTATCACTACCCGAAGGAGTCTCAAAGCAGCTAACATTCTCCTTTCCCTTCCTCCCCCACAACAAACACTCTGTGAGGTGAGTGGGGCTGAGAGACTTCAGAGAAGTGTGACTGGCCCAAGCTCGCCCAGCAACTGCATGTGGCGGAGTGGGGAAGCGAACCCGGTTCACCAGATTATGAGTCTACCGCTCTTAACCACTACACCACACTGGCAGAGGTGGGAAACATTTATGTCTCCCAAGGCAAGATCCTTACCAGGATGGGCCTCGCAGCACTAACCACCTGTCAGTCACATGAAATCATTATGACATTGCAAGATTGCCAGGTGTATTGTCCCGCCCGCTTGTCGAGATCCCCTGCAGGCTTCCCAAGCCCCAGCTGCCACGGAGAAAGAAGCCTGCATTTTAAGGTGCAGTTACGCTTGCTTCCCGCAGTGGCAGCAGCAAATGGGGAGAAAGATGTTCAACCTACAGCATTGGAAGAGGGAAGGATCGGCACAGGGCAGTTTCACAGAACCACACTGGGAGGGATAAGCGGCTGCCATCCCCCAGCAAGGCATACACCTACTGCTTATGGTTTGTAGACAGTGCTTTTTTTCTTTAAAAAAATGTTTAGGGGTACTCTCATTTTGACTCAAGAAAATCACCATTTTATAGTTCAAATCAGGAAAAATAAATACAGAAAATGGAGAAAAGTACAAAGATTCACAGAATGCTTAAAGGTATCATCATCATCATCATTTTTTAATTTGTATGCCGTCTTTCTATCTTACAATTCTCAAGGCGGTTTACAAGCTGAAGAAACAAAAAATGTACATCTTATAACAATCTAATGCAAGACAAAAATGTGATAACAAAACTTTAAAATAGGCAACCTACATCAAAAAAGTAACATTCAACAATCATTAGAATAGTATTAAATAATAATAACATATAAAAGTTAAACAGAAATCCACTCAACAGTTACAATAAATAATTTCTAAACTATAATCAATAAAACAATGGCAAGCCTCAGTATGCGTACTGCGTTCTGGGGGGGGGACACAGGGGTATGCGTACCCCTGTGTCCCCCCCAGAAAAAAGCACTGGTTGTAAGCAGCAAAGGAGCAATCAGGAGTCCACTTTCAGCTCCCAGTCATTCCTCTGCAGCCTTGCCATTACCTGAAGTCATGCATGATGTCAGAAGTAGGGTGAGTTGACATGGCTTCCTCAAAACAGCCTTGTGGGCTAAATTGGGAGGCTGGCAGACTCAGTCTGAGGCAGAGGTTCTCCACCCTGGTCTAGAGCAAGGAACAGTATTCCACAACATGGAGGCAACAAGCAAGAAAGCCCCTTTTCATGTGTCTTCAAGACATGCTTTGGAAATGAATGGCCATCTCTGTCTCTTGGCCCTGTTTTGATTCCAGTCTTGTTGGCACTGGCCACATCTATTTGGTATACTGGAGGAGTCCTACTGCCCACACTCAGTTAAAACAGCTATAAATACCCATATGTCCCGGTCACTGTGATAAACTGCTAGATGTCCGAAAAGTTTGTATGTTCTTAATGCACCAGGGAAGGAGCGAGCTGGAGAAAGCATATTAGACATCTACTGGAACAACAACTCTGGATCTCAGTTCATTTCTGAGCAGGGATTTCATTTCTAGTTTTCTTCCAGGATATTGGAGTTATCCATTATAACCATGGATATTATGTGCACAGACAGTACACTACCTAGCTGTAAAATCATTTCTGGCTCTCTCACTTGCTACTGATTTATTTCTTTTGCAGAACTAATCTACTATGAAGGGCCTGTCTCAGTGGGATTCCACGAGCTCCCTCAGGTAGGCTTTTTCTAGTTTGCCCTCTGAAATATAAGTATTATTCGAGTAGCAAAACCACCAGTGGCAGTGATGACATTTTAAGTGAACATGCCCCCAAAAGGGGCTAGCCAATCATTGCAGGGTTATTCTGATCTAATGACTTCCTCTTATTTCTTTCTAGGGAGACCTTGATGTAAAGGTGGAGTTTTTAAATCAAGACCATCACACTATTATTTGTGCTAATTTCACTGTTAAGAGTCACTGAAAGGGTGTTGCTGTTTTTAATGCAGTCATTAAGGGACATGACTAAAGGCACCACGAACTAGAGAAGGGATTTGTTTTACTTTTGGAAACCTTACTGTCTGCAATCTTACAGATGTGGCATAGCAAAATAATGTAACACACAGGTTTAGTTGCAATTGCTGTCAGTGGCGTAGCGTGGGTTGTCAGCACCCGGGGCAAGGCAAGTAATTTGCGCCCCCTAACCCGTGGATTTTAGCACGCCCCCCCAGCGCACCCCCCCAGATGTTGCGCCCGGTGCGGCTGGCCCCCCCTGCACCCCCCACGCTACGCCACTGATTGCTGTTTACATTCTGTTGACCTAATGAAAGTACAAAATCCCTGTATGCCAATTTGTCCCAGCAAGGTTCAATGCAATATATTCAGCTTTCCTTCCTATAACACACTGCTTCCTTTCATTACATGCATTGTTTAAACTCAAAAGTATGAATCAAAGAATAAGTACATTGAGGTTCTCTCAGTTACTAATTCTTCCAGTCTGAAATTCAGTTCCCCATGTTTCTGCAGCTTTTTGCAAAATCCTCTTTTTTAAAAAAAAAAAATCTTCATGAAAATTCTTCAGCGTTTTCGTGCAACTTTTTCCTAATAAACATATTTTTATACGCAGTTTTGATTAGTATACACTTATGTGCAAGCAATTTCTCATCATGTAATGTATTTCAGTATGTTATTTTCACGAATATATTCATTTTTATGCAATTTCCCCCCAATATATGCATTTTTGTAAACATTGTTTAGCTAGAAAACTGTATCATGAAGTCTACTGTCCCAGGGAAACTGGTGGAAAATATTTTTTAAAATAAAGTAAAGCATATGGAAGAACAAGTCTTGCTGAAGAACCAGCATGGCTTCTGAAAGAGCAAGTCCTGTTTCATGAACCTATCAGAGTTATTTGAGAGTGTAAACAAGCATATAGGAAGAGGTGATTTGCATGACATAGTGTACTTGACTTTCATCAAGCTTCCAGCGAGCCTCCGTGGTTTCCCACATTCAGTTAAAGCCCAGAAAATGATGTCACGAGGTAACAGCCAGGGGGTTGCAGGGGACTGAATTAAATGGAAAGAAAAATGTACACACACCACCCTCGGCCACCTCATAATAATAAAGTAAGCTCAACCGTATAACTATCAAAATTATAAAAGAATTCTAAAATGCCCTGCAAATGCTGCACAAATACAAACGCCTCATTTGTAAGGGAAGATTTTTCTCTCTACACATTTTGTAATCGCACAAAGGTACCAATTCTTCAGCTCAGATGCAATAAGCTGCTTAAAGTCACAGGGGAGAGGTAGGCCTAAGGCATGTTTGAACTCAGCAAGGGATGAAGTCTGCCTGCACCTGAAATCTGGCAAAATCCTCCTTACCACATGTCACAGTGAGAGAGAAAACTGAGGTCCTCTAAGGAAAGAGAACGCACATGAGAAGGCTTAGTCATGTGTTTGGAAGCTCTATAACAGGCATAGGAAACCTTCAGCCCTCCAGATGTTTTGGACTGCAATTCCCATCATCCCTGACCACTGGTCCTGTTAGCTAGGGATCATAGGAGTTGTAGGCCAAAACATCTGCCTATGCCTGCTCTATAACAATTACCAAACTCTCTCTCTCTCTCTCTATCTATCTATCTCTCTCTATCTCTCTATCTCTCTCTGTGTGTGTAAAGTCTCCAAAGATATTTCAAACAACTTAACATCATATACATGTTTTTTATATACATACATGCATAACTTCTTCTTGACTTCCCACCCCTCCTTTCCTGATTATTATTTTCATTACTCCTTTTTATTAGCTGTTTTGAAACACATCTGGTTTTTTTATTATCTAAGACCCGATATCATTAATTCTTTCAATAATCTGCTGCTTGTATTTCAAATCCTGCCTGCGACTTCCAAGTACAGGTGATAATTTGATAGATATCAATGGTTTCCATTCTTATCAGTGAGCTTTTCTATATTCCCCTTGCTCCCACATTATTTTTAATTGTGTGTGGATATATAGATAAGTCCTCCCAGCTACTTGGCAAGATCTTTACATGCACCCTGTGAAAAAGGGGCACAGTAAATTGTCATTATTATTCCCCTTCTGTGAAGGACACATGGGTGCACCATGCTAAATCTTCACATTCAAATAATAGGAAGTCCACCCACAGAAATACTTTAATGGCCTGTGCACTGCAAAAGGAACGTCTAAGAGTGTTACTACAGGCCTTCTTCATGAGTCAAATCTGAGGATAGTGGAGGAATTTACGTAGGAGAATCAGCCTGCGTCCTACCTGCGGGTTCTTCTTCTTTTTACCTTCTTACCTGAGAACTCCCAGGTAAGTTCTGCCATCGTTGTGTGGGCTGGTCGATCCCTCCCCTTACCTGGCCAACTCTCTCCTGGCAACGCAGGTATTGGGTATCTGACAGAGTTAGGCGGCTACCTCCTGGTGTCCAGCCTGGGGAGGGCGTATCCAGGCTGTACTGCCAGGAGCCGCATAGGATGGGGGGGCTGCGCGCAACCGCGCAAAAGGCCCCCCCCCCCGTTTTGATGTGGGGAGCGGTCAATATTATTATTTAGTTTTACAAATTAAAATTTACATTCAAAATCAGGAATAAGAAAGAAAGAAAGAAAGAAAGAAAGAAAGAAAGAAAGAAAGACTCGGTCAAATCTCTGGACTTCCCCCCAACCCTCCATGGGTTCTGTCACTAATCCTTTTGCGCTGCATATTTTAAGACACTTCAATTGTTTCAATATCCCATGTATTCCTAGTTCTTGTTATGTTACAAATGTTATTCAGATCCTTCTAAGGAGCTCAATTGTTTACAATGGTCACCTGCAGGTTCTTCTTAACAAATGAGCCCCACCATGGCTGGCTGGTGACCCACATGTCGTACCCTGAGTGCTGTTGGGGGTGGGGAGGCAAGGCATAATGTAAAAAATGGAACCTAGAAGTAGGTTCCATTCCAAGTAAAAAATGGAACCTAGAAGTAGCCTGGATGAGGCAAAATCAGAGCAGGAGATTGGAGTTAACGTGGTACCTTGGGTTACAGACGCTTCAGGTTACAGACGCTTCAGGTTACAGACTCCGCTAACCCAGAAATAGTACCTTGGGTTCAGAACTTTGCTTCAGGGTGAGAACAGAAATTGTACGGCGGTGGTGCAGCGGCAGCAGGAGGCCCCATGAGCTAAAGTGGTGTTTCAGGTTAAGAACAGTTTCAGGTTAAGAACGGACCTTCAGAATGAATTAAGTTCTTAACCCGAGGTACCACTGTACAACCATTTGCAGGGGAGATCAGCAAGTGCAAATGAAGCCAAGCACCTGCCGATTCTCCCTTTGCAAAGCACCCTGTCCCTGCCTCACCTTTGCCTCGGCAAACGTGGGTGTGTGGCCACACGCCTACCAAGGTAGCATGAAGTCCTGTCCTAATTTAGAACTGACTGCATCTGGCTGCCTGAAATAGCTTTGCGGAGCCAAACACAGCTATGCCCAGCAACCTCACAGATCCCGATTATAACCTGAGCGAAAAGAACATCCTACGGTGACACACAGCTCCAGAGAGGAGGCGGAAGATGCTTTTAGAGAAACAAGGAGGCCCACGATCTTCCTGAAAATCAAGAGAGGCAGAAGCTGAGGTTCTTTGCTCAAAAGCTTTCTCGGAGGATCTGTGTGTGTTGGAAACAACTTTGAAGTCTGGGGTTTTCCCCTCCAAAGCGTAAGGCTTGATTGTCTTCAAAAGGAGCCTTGGAGGAGGAGGGAGAGCAGCATGCAGTGATTTTATTTTTAACACCTTTGTGTGGAAGTTATCACTTTATCAATGAATCTTGAAGCAATGTCCCCAAGGCTCTCCACCTCTTTTGTAGATATTTGGGACCTAGTGCTGGCAGCCCTCATAGCCAACTCTTATACTTATACTCTTATACTTAACAGGTTTTGCTAGGGTTTGACCATTTTCCTTGTCCCACCTTTTTGGGGGGAATACGTTGCATTATGCATATATTACCAAACTTGCATGGTCACATAAACATGATCATAACATGCATTGTATGTATGTATGTATGTATGTATGTATGTATATTATTCCTGTACCACCTTTCATCATAAGACCACAGGGCAGTTTACAAGATAAAAATTATCATTATGGAAATTTACGTGTAGATTACGTGTTCACGGCCTGTAGTTTGGGGTATAGTTATTTTTGTGTATAATCCCTGGACCTTCCGGGGGGGGGGGGGAGATGCTAAGTATGCAGCTTGAACAGAACTGGGTGCTCAGTGTAAGAAGGGATCCCATAGGAGGCAAATCTCAAACACAGTGGAACTCAAATTCTTACTGAGATTCATTTCTACCTCATTATTGGCCCATCCATACTTCACACAAATGGCACCTCAGTACACAGTCACATTCCTGAATATCTTGCTTACAAGCTAGCAGCAAGAGCAAAGCAGCCCTCTGTTGCAAACATTTCACGCTACCTAGATACAGCTGTTGCACAGAGACCAGATCAGATACAGTGTCAAACTATGGCTTGTTGCTGTGTGATTCAGCCCTGTGTTCAACAGTACAGTCATACCTTGGGTTACAGCCGCTTCAGGTTGCGTTTTTTCAGGTTACGGACCGCCAAAACCCGGAAGTACCGGAACAGGTTACTTCCGGGTTTCAGCAGTCGCGCATGTGCAGAAGCGCTAAATCGCGCTTTGTGCATGTGCAGAAGTGCCAAATCACAACCCGCACGTGCGCAGACGCAGGTTGTGAACACTGTGGGTTGTGAATGTGCATCCTGCACGGATCATGTTCACAACCCAAGCGTCCACTGTACTTCAATTTATCTCATACACTTTTTATTTAGAGTGCAAGAGGGTCCCTCCAAACAGCAATCGCCTGGTAACATTGGGGGAAGCATTGCAGGACAACGAATAAAATAGATTAACGCCACCACAAATGCACTACTATTGCATCAGTGACATTTTACAGAATACACCTGCAAA